GTAGGAACGGCTCTACGGCCACAATGTCGGCCCGTTTAGATAGCAGTAGTTCCGGACTGCGGTCCGATGCCGGGGTGGTCCCGAGAAGTAGTTCAGTATGCTTGATGTCTTTGTGATTCAGGCATGTCTATGTGTTATGTGTTCCGGACTGCGGTCCGATGCAGTATGCAGTATATGTGTTATTGTATGGTATGTGGTAGTTTGGGGGAGCTCACTAAGCTTCGTGCTTACAGTTTCAGTTTTGGTTTCAGGTACTTCAGCTAGCAAGGGGAAGGGCTCGGGATGATGGCATGACACACACCACAGTTTTAGCCTGGGAGATTGACTCTGATATTTTGATATGATCTTGACATTGGTTTGTTATGAGACATATTTTATGACATTTTGAGACACATGACTTATGGTTTTCTTATATGATATTTGGATCTTACGGTGTTAGTAATGTTTTCAAAACGAAATTTTTGGTTTGTATTTTTGGGATGTTTCACATAGTATGATGTTTGTTATTCTACGCGTATTGTTGTGTATGGGTATTTTGGGGGTAACTCACTAAGCCTTCGAGCTTACATTTATCGATTATTGTTTCAGGTACTTCGGATGACCGCGGGAAGGCGAAGGCGTGACCGTACATTTCCTTATTTTATGATTGTGGTTTCTGGGAAAACTCTGATGTCTAAACTATTTGGAAAACATTTTGTAATTACTAATGATTTTGGATGGTTGAAAAAGTTTTAAATTTGCATGATTTTCGAGGGTGTTACACGTTCTATATTTCCCAATTCGTTCTGGATGCAAAAATGATTTCTTCTCCGTATCGAATCGAACATCATCTGCTCATGACAATTTTCGATTAAAAAATATCCTACAAAGTCGATACCTTTCATTATCGATTCGAAAACATCATCCTTCTTCCCAAATACTTCTTCTTCTCATTTGAAAACCCAAAACATCATATCGAAGTAATTCCTTCAATAATAATCTTTAATATCGACTTCTATCTTTATACTTTCGCTATCAATTTTGTCGACATCGCTATCAACCTTCATAATCAACAACGAAACTCATAAATCCTTCTTCCCTTTCGTTATCAAACACAGTCTTCCCATCGAACCACTAGATTCGAACACTCAAATTCCCACTATAACCCTTCATCTTCGAATATTCATTCAAACTCAGACCCACTTACGAAGACCAAACTTCGCAATCGTTATCATAAAACTATCATTTGACCAATCGAAAGTCAAAATAATCAATATCGATAATCCTTAGTTCCTTACTCGTAATCTACCACTCGTAGCGAAAATCCAACCCTTCAATATAAAAAATCGATACTTGACAGTCGAGTCGATTATGAATCCAAAATTGAACACCTCACCCACTCGACAAACACCAATTCAACAAACCTTTGTACATTTTCAGATCAAACCTATGACTGAACGACAATCATTCATATATTCATCTGTTGAATATGGCTTGTTCTTCAACAATCAATCATAAGAACCCAAGTTTTATACTCAGATTTTCTTTCAAATCGATCCAAGTGAAGGAATCATTTGACAAATCCTTGATACGAGATTACCATTTCAACATTCTGATTATGAGCATCTTGCGAGAGTTCATCAAGCTTTTGTTTCGATTTTGACTTTAAAGTTTGATTTTTAATTCATCAGTTCTTTCTTCTTTTCTGAATAGGATTTAGAAATAGGAAGATTGTATCGATAATTTCAAATGAACAGTATCGAGAATTCCTTTTCTGAATTTAATCGAAAATTAAATGAACATTAGGTTTTTGGGCTATTTGTTTGCATCAAAGGAGCTTGGGCTCAAATGTGTTTTGAATAGTAACAGATCAAGAGAATTGGAATTGATTTTTGAGCAAATCTGGATTGTTTATCATCGAATCTTCAGCCATCAATTATCAAAAAGAACATTTTGGAATCTATTTGAGATTGAAAATTTGAGATACCTTCTTGAAAATCCCTTCCCCATTTGCAATGCACGAATTGAACATGAAAGATCTAGGTTCCTTGGTTGGAATTAGGAAATCTCAATTTGCACATTGTACCATCCATGATGCACATTGTACCATCTATGGAACTTCTTTTCACTTATCTAAGATCTAACTTCATCTTCATAACAAATTTGAGAATCTTCAACAGTTTTGTTGTTTGGAATTCGAAACCATTACAACATTTGATGATTGTTGCTTAGGAACCCAAATTTTCTTCATTGATTTCGGCATCAAAACAACATTTGAAGAATTTTGTTTAGAAACCCAAATTTTCTTGTTTTTGATCTTCTTCTTCTTCTTCTTCTTCTTCTTCTTGGATCTTGAAGTTTTGAATTCAAGAACAACTTCATTCTTTACAACTTGAACTTGGCAACTTTGAATCAAACCTTTTGAAGTTTGATACATTTGAACTTTTTGGATTGAAGACTTTCTATATGGCATCATTCCTTCAACTAAATCACAAGAATACAAACAATCATTGGTTTGAACTCCAATCGAACAGAGGACTTTCTATATGGCATCATTCCTTCAACTAAATCACAAGAATACAAACAATCATTGGTTTGAACTCCAACTTCATGAGAATCATATTAAATTCCCTTGTCTTGAACATCATGAACATCCGGGTAAAGTGCAAGAACATTAACACCATATTTGCATTCATCAAGACAAATTCCTTTAATAATTTCATCTTCTTTCTTCTCTCATGATAAGTTGTAACCAAACGATTAAGCAACACTTTATGATTATCATGATCAAGAGAATAACCAACCATCTTTCCACATTCATCTATTTTTCCACAAGAAATGAGTGAATTTTGTTTAAAATACCCGGTTGTAAAGTTCTTGATAAGTCCATCAAAACTATATGGATATGGATCATCTCCAAGAAATACAAACAATCTTTCACAAGATTCTTTTTCCATTTCCATTCAAAGACGAAAAAGATCACAAGAACTTGAATTTTTCTAGAGAGAGAAAGTGAATTCGAATGAAATTCTAGAGAGACAAAGTGATTTTCGACATGAATTCTAGAGAGAGAAAACGAAAATCATATGAATTATAGAGAGGGAAAATCGAATTTGAATCAAGATCAAAGAACAATTAGATTTCTAGAATCAAAAATACCCTCAAACAAGAAGAACTTACAACAATTTATGATTCACCAAATCATGTTGTCATCATGGATCAATTTCTTGAAGACTTCAAGCACACTTCAAGAACACCCGCTCTTATACCAATTGTAGTGACTCGGTTATGATGACGAATACGGAATTCTAAAGATTAAGTGAATCAATCAATCACGAAAAACACAAAGAGTACATAATTCGTTTAAGCTCTCATTAATCTAGTAAGCTATTACAAAGTGGGTCTTGTAATAATTCTCTCACTAGACTAATCTCACAAATTGTTCTTACATAAAATGAGAGTCACTCACTTCTTATTGATAGGAAAAGCTAAACCCATTACACATCCAAAGAGGGTAAGCCACATCCAAGGAGAACTAGTTTCTAGAATTACTAAATTGTTTATTAATATGTTAATGGGGTTCACACTTAAACAAAATTTACAAGTTTTTTAGTAAATAAAATGGAGGGTACTATAGAAGTATTGATTAGTAAATACATTTTTAAAAACTATGTTCTTGTACAAAACTCATATGTGTAAAGTAGGGGTGAGCATTTGGACCCGTAGATCGGTTCGGGCATGGACCCTTTTTTGGACCCTCGGGTAAAAAACGATCCGATTTTTTACCATTTTCAGTCCGATCGGTTCCGGGTAAAAACTGGTTTTGGACCGGATTATTAAAAAATATGTATCTTTATCATATCTTTTTTCTAATTATCCGTTTGATTTTGACCAACTGCGTAACTCTTTCTCCCATAGATCGTCACCACAAAGAATAAGCAAGTTCAAGAAGGCGATGAAAGATTATGGGTTACAAACGAAGAGGTTTCTATGTGGTGACACCCCTACCCGGTGAAACTCAACTTTCGAGTTATTGAAGTCCGCATACCAATTACGTGAGGCGTTTATGGGCTTTGGCGTAAGAGGTATTATTTATTTTAAAGTTATATTAGATTTTTATTTTTTGGTATGATGTATTCTGTGAAATCTTTAAACAAACATATCTTATTCGTTTAAGTTAGATTGACATACTTTTAGACTATAATTTTCCTGTTTTTGGTATTATATTCAATGATTTACAAGCCTTAAAAGTTAGGATATCAAAACTGAAAATATTTCAGTTTTTCAGCTATTTTTTTACTTTTATTTTTTGTGAAAATCTTTAAACATGCATATCTCATTCGTTTTAAGTCGTATTGACATGCGGTTCTTTCTAGCGTGTAATTTAGAGTATGTACATAATTTTATACTATAATTTTGTCATTTTTGGTATTATATTCAATGATTTACAACTTTTCAAAGTTGGGATATCAAAGCTGAAATATTTCAGCTATTTTTTAGATCGTTTTAAGTCGGATTGATATACCGTAATTACTTTTGTGTGTTTACGTTAAGACGGTTAACTTTTGTTAGTGAGCTTATTTACATGTTATTCGTTTTTATTTGGAAAATTAAGTTTGCAAGTTATAGTGTTATAGATAATGTCATTAATTAATTTGATTCAAAGTTCAAACAAATGATATAAGTAATAATTTTTTTTTATCTAAAACGAACAATCAAACAAACATTTATATTTTTGACGAGTTATACCGTATTAAACCCACAAACGTATTCGTTTTAACGAGTTGTATCAAACCTAAAAATATATTAAAATATTAAATCCAAAAACGTATTCATTATAACGAATTGTACTGTACGCACCTAAAGTTACATCAGTCTAACATGTACAAGAACCGAAAAAACCGGATCTGAACCCGGACCCAGTAAGCCTCAAACCGGTCTGGTCCGATGTCCACAAAATTCTCCGAAACCGATACGGTCAAAGAGTTGATGACTTAAAATTAACCGAAATAAATAGGACGATGGTCACCTCCAAGTTTCCAGCTGACGTGGATGACTTAACAAACGGACAGCGCCGACACAAATAAACCAAATCCTAACTAATTTGAACATCAAAATCTCTCAGATCAAACTAATGTGATTACGATATCTGTTTCCATTTTTACAATTGAAGATCGAGTGTTTCGTTGGAGGATTCGAGTTATTCATCAGTTCCAGGTGAACTTTGTGTTTTTTTCGTTTTCGACTTCCGATATCTTTCTTCATATTGTTTGTTTAACTGAATGTTGTAATGGGAGCTCTTTTCGTAAGAATATTGCTTAGATTTACGATGTTGATACGGAATTTTATGTTTCTAGCATGATTATCAGGTGATTCGGATGGCTTTTAGCTGTGATGATTTAGGGTTTTGCTGTAGCTTCGCCTGTATGATTAAGATTTATGACTAAGATTTGTGACACTCATCAATCAGGTTTGTCGTACATAGTTGTTCTTTCTTTGTTTCGTCTTCTTGTTATTCCATAATCCAGAAGACTGCTGCCTACAATTTGGCGTTTATGATTACCCGATCTAATTTTAAAATTCACCTCCATCGAAAATTCTATTATATCACAACGTGCTTTCCGATAACTGGGAAATTTCATATTTCTCCAATGTTTTGTGATATTTTTCGTTACAGATAAACAAGTACTACTGTAAAATATTTGTTTTCTGAAAACCTTGTAATCACCATCCAAAACCAGTATATGTATGATAGTTTGTGTTCCTCCATTTGGTTGCCATCAATATCATACCATATAGACGTATATATATACAGTTATTCACTACAAGTTAACTATATTAATTACCATTAAGTATATACAGTCTAATAATTGCTCTTTGCAAATTTTCTTTTCTTTTCCATTTCAGTAGGTTCTGCACCTCATATATTGTATAAAAAGTTCTCTAAAGATCAAGCTTGGTAGCTTAAAAAATAATGGGAGACTCATTTCACAATCATGTTCCATGTCCAACAAGCTCTGAACCATCAAGTTCCAAATTAACTTTGGTTGCTTCTTGCTCCAAGCCCCTTTCCCACAAATCTTTAAAAAAAATACATATTTTTAACAGTGGGAAAACCAGAAATTCATCTGTGAATGACATGGCATTGTTTTTACTGAAAGTTGGTGCCTTAGAGACAATAAGGAGATTATCAAAGCACAGGTGTCCTTTTATATGGTCCAGTTTGCAAACTTTACAAGTTTTCTGCTACCCACCACTTAAATGGCTCCAAAGATGGAATCTTTTCAGGAATTTTATTAAAGGCATGCAGGTTTGTTTTTAATTTTGTATATAACAGGATCTAAGTTTTTAATTAAATTTCTTGAATGTTGATGGATATGGTTTCCTTGGTTCTAGATGTTGTCAAGACCATTACTAGTGCTCTCTATTGCAACGACTTTCTCAAATCATTCAGAACAAAACAATCTTGATTCAGATGATATAGAAATACAAGATTCAGATGGAAGCGATTATCATGGTGTTCAAGAATCAAATCCTGAATTGCCTCCTACACAATCCACTAGGGTTGATGATGAAGTTCCATCATCTACAAATTGGTTAATTGATCTTTATAAAGAGCTTGACAACCAGGGTCTTCATTTACCTGAAAGGTATTTAACTATTTATGAATTATGACACTCAGTGCATAAAATAAAACCATTAAACACACAGACTTATGTTTATGCAGAATAAACAAGGATGAGCTTCATAGGTTTCATTATGCAGCAAATGGTGATTTTTCAAGTTTGGTTACTTCAGTCAAGAAGTCAATACAATGGAGAAAGACATATAAAATTCTTTCACAAGAAGAACTCGAGGCATGGGCAAATATGGTATTTTGGCATGGAACCGATGTTAAAAACCGCCCCTGTCTCATTGTTCGTCTAGTTGCTTGCATCCACTTGCCACCCAGTGAAAGACCCCGTTTCTCACAAGCAATCAGTATGTTCATTTTTCTATTAGTTTTCTCAACATTTTTATTAAAAAAAAAGTATTAATTGAACTTATTTTGCTTTTTACCATGTCAGTATCTCAGGTAGAACATGGGATGCTACATCTAGTAAATGCTGAAAATCCTGAGGTAACAGTATTGGTGGATTGTGAAGGATTATCTCTAAGATTCCCAATGCAACTACTTAGATCATGTTCAATTACTCTTCAAGAAAACTACCCAAATCGTTTGGGTTGTTTGTTTATTATTCGACTTCCTCCTGTTGCTAGAGTTATTGCACAGACTTTCATTCAAGTAAGCTTTTTCTTTTCAAAAGTAAATTACATTTTTGGCCCCTGAGCTTAAGCTCATAACCAGGTTACAGTTTTTGTGCTGAATTCACTATTTAAATAAAAAAACAGTGTACCACATAACCACAAGGACCAAATTGGTAATTTTCTCTTACTTTTTCATTCAAGAATAAATTACAATAATGGTCCCTGATTTTCTGAGTTTTACCATGTTTGGTCCGAAATTCAAACATGTTTCAGTTATATCGTGCATCCTTGTGTTATACTGTTTTTTGGTTCAAGGTCAAAATGAACATTTTAAAAAATTTAATAGCTGGGGCTGTTAAGATATACGAGCCAGGGGCCAAAATTGCAACCTGATTCCTCTAGGGACCAAAACCGAAAAAATCAGTTAATCTATTATATCATCTTGTAAAGATAAGATACAGTTACCGAATTATTGTTTATTAGGTTTTGAAACCCGCAACGAGACAAAAACTTAAAATAATAGGGCGAATGTACAAAAATGCCCTTGAGGAACACCTGAGGACGTTTCCATCGTATCTAGGTGGCGAATGTGGGTGTTGTAGATGTGTAAAGGTTGGGAACTCGCATTTGGAGATTAATGAATTTAACGAAGAAGGGTTAAATGTGGAGAGAGTGAGAAGTGAAGGGGGGTTTGAGAATTATTATTATGAGTTTGGTGATGTGAATGAAGGTTGTGAGAGGGTGTTGAGATCTGCTGTGGTCGGGATTTTGATGGTGTGGGCGTTAATTGCTCTTATTGCTGGAATACTTGACCCTGAAACTCGTCCTGGTTTACAAGTTTGAGGAATTTGTATTTTTATTAGATGTGAATAAATTGTGTGTATATTGTATTAACTTATAGTATGATTTATATATGTCCTTATTGTAGATTTATGTATACCAATCGAGTGCATCTTCTCAACGAATATATGTATCCTAACTATAGTGCTTGTTTTGTAAGTGTGTTTATTTAAAAATTTAGTATATGGTTTTATCAACAATTCTTATATTTTTGTTATTAGAATGACCAAATTTCAAAATATTTTCATAACGTATAAGTGTAAAGATTTATATTTGGACGCAAGTTTAGTCTTTATTTGAAGTTAGAAGTTGTATACTTTTTTTTTAATTCTAGTTTTTGAGAAGCTAGAAAGTCCAAAACTCCTAAAGACTATTAAAATTCTGATTATGCAAATTTTGGCCCGGAGAATTTTTTTTTTTGTGTTAGCATAAATGTCCTCAGCAAATGTAAAAGGGAAAAGTAATTAGAGCATCTTCAAGGTTAAGTCTTAGGACTTAAAACTATTATCACATCATCAATATAATAAATTAACCTATAATTAAATGACCACTTCAATGGTTAACCTCTTCAAATAGTTTTTTTTTATAAAATTTTAACTAATTTATCTATATCTATCTAAAATGTTCTATAAACCCTCCTTATTTAATTATTCGTTTTTTAAACACACGTTGTATTTTAATTTTATTAAAAATATTATAATACATTGTTTCAAAATAAATATATTACAACATATCGTTCGGAAAAATTAATACGAAAAAACTATTATGAAATAGTAATAAAAAATATTGAAAAAAAATTATATAAACATTATAATTTTATATTTCATAGAAAGCAATGTCATTAGATATTTAATATAAATAATTAAATAGTAAATAAATAAAATATATTTAAAAGTAAAATATATTTAGGAATGTAAATGAAATATAACTAAAATATGAGAGGGTTAAGTGACAAAGTACAGAAGTATATTCACCAATCTGAGTGGTCAATAAAAAAACAAATAAGCTTTAACCTCCAATAGTAATAAATTATAAAAAAAATAAAGATCAATAATAATATCCTATAAAAAAGTTACTATTGGAGTTGGGACACAGTGAAACTACTCAATAATGAAAAACTTGAAAGTGAAATTCTCTTGTGATGGGACGAAAATTGCACAACTGTTACAAGAAGAGAGAGACGACTTATGTATTTTTATCAAAAAAGCAACGTGACAAACAGTTTTTGTCAAGGGACCAAAATGGCACAATTGACAAAAATTAGACAGACAACTAAAAAGGGAAAAGTGTGGCTGCTGGGATTCGAGCCCAGGTCTCCACGGCCACAACGTGGAATTCTTACCACTAAACTACAGCCACTTTTGTTTTATATTTATCAATATAAATTCAAAACCACTATTTCAGAAAAGTAAACATATATGTAAACGAAAGGAATAATAAATCAACATTGGTTTACAAGTAAACTAGTATACGTTGCAGGATAATACAAGCACGTATTTATATATTTTTTTTTATCAAAAATATGTTTTTTGATGATTGACAAACGAATGTGGATCATAAATACCCAAAACGATTTAGTTGGGAAAAACTTGTTTTCAGGACTATTTATGCATATCGCTCTTGAAAATTTGCATAACAGTGAAAAAAACAATCATTTGGACAATCAAAGGGTTTTTTGGCCCTGACATGTTTAATTTTGTTTTTGTACAATGCTTAAATTTCTACGCATTGAACACCTTTTTAAACTATAATCTTGGGACAATTTCATGGAAGCCCATAATATTATTGTTAGTTTTTAATGATCTATCCTTATTCGATTTCAGCCCAAACCAAAAATAGTCCAATCTGTCACGTAGTCCACGAAGGCAGCATCGATCGATCGCAGCAGAACAGATCGATCATCGATCATTCACGCTTCAGCGACAACATCGACTAGCGAGGGCCGAGGGTTACTGTGATTCTGTGAAGGGTCGATTTGTGCACTCCTGTTATTCTGTTGACTCCTAATCAGGTAAGTAATCGATTAATTGATGTTATCCAAATCTTCAACTCCTGCGTTGGATAAATTGAATGTCGATTGCTGAGTTGAATTATCAGTTTGTAATTGAAATATTGAATGTCGATTATCACTTATCAGTTTGTAATTGAATGTCAATTATCATTATCAGATACAGAAATCACTCGATCAGAATGTCGATTATCAGTTTCTATTTGAATACTTGAGTTGAAATTGAACGCTTAATGTAATAATGTTGAATCGTTGATTGTTGATTTGTTGAAATCGTCTAATTGATCATTCATGTATGATGTAGTTATGTTATCAGGTTAGAATTCAGAAATTTCATTATCAGATTTCTAGTTTTCTTTTTGTTCCTTCCACTGATCAAACAAGGTCAGAAAAGGGTTTAAGGTTAGAAAAAAGGATTTCAATAGAATGATAATCAAGGTAGATCACAACTTAATCGACCCAAATTTTATTCCACTTGATTGACAAAGCTTGGATGTCTTATAGCATATACGTTTTCCAAAATTCCAAGTTTCACAAAACCAATAATGGGATAATCCAAAAAAGAACACTTCTAGTTTAGGCACAACACTGAGAAAAAATATATTTTGATTCATCTAAACATGTTTGTTCTAGGTTCTAGGTTCTAGGTCCTAAGAGAGACTAAAATAACTTAGTGTGCACTCAAAAATAATGAAAGATCATAAATTTTAACATCCCAAATTTCATTTCAAAAGCTCCAAATTGTTGAACATACACAACAAAGAACACTGAGGGGCTGAAAAGTGATGGATTACATCTAGGAAACCTTTCAATTTGGTAACAAAAACTAACAAACATTGATCAAAATAGAAAACATTGCTGCAACTTCAACAAGCCATTTAAAATACATATAACATACATGTGTGACTTGTTATCGTCTTTTAAAAATAATAATAATAATAAAACTTTATTTTATATAATTTAATTCGTTACGTATTGGTACGTTATATATTCGCAAAACTAAAACTATTATAACTTTTATGTGTAAAGTATTATTTGGTAAATATAATTGTAAGTTTCTGAAAAAACTAAAAGCTATAAAATATTTGAAATAATATATTTTTAAGTTGTTCTATATCTAAATACGTATTTATGAAATAATATCTAAATTTAAATCTATAAAATTAATTTTTATTGAAAATGATATCACAAGAAATAAAGAAAAAAACAAATTTGGTCCTACCTGAAAAAGAAAAAAGGTCGACCGATGACGAATACAGTAGTTTCCAAATTCCAAGTCCATGAAACGTCTTTGAATTCACAAGTATCGACTATCGATCGAAAAGCCCAAACAACGAAACTCCTTAAATCCTACGCAATTGCAAACTACAAATTGCCCTTCCATGGCTACCAACTTCATCCAAGAATCCCTCTGGTATCGTCTTCGTTGACTTGTTATCCTAAAACCTTGAAGATTTTCAAGTTTGAGTAAGTCTTACTTCTTCACTGAATAATTTAATAATTTATTTTATGTTGTTTTGTTATTGAGGACCCATCATTAGGTTCCTCTGCGTTACCTTGGTTTTGAAGCATTTGATTAGGTGGTATTCCATTTTTTTAATATTAATTTTAATTCGAGTTGGCATCGTTTGGTGAGATTTTGAAATTTTCTCCTTCTTTATATGATTGTTTGTTTGCGTCTGTAAATTCGCACACAGACACAGAAGTAAAAGCTCCAACAGCGGCACGTAAACTAGGGTTTTTCTCTAAATCTCAGGTTTCCCTTTCCCCTGATCTTCTTCTGCTTCTTCTCATCTGATCTGATTCTTCTCCGATTTTGATCTTGCGTTTTGATTTGTATTGCTTTGATTCTTAGTTGTTGTTAATTTGTTATTGATGCTTAAATCTTACATTGTTAGTCTGCTCTAGAATTTCACTATTTGAGCTACAAAAGATTTCCAATTGCTTTCGAAATCTCAAACTAATAGCATTCAAATTCATAATCAAAAGTCAAAACCTACACACACTTCTAGGTTTGTACATTTGATGATCATCATCTATTATTTTACAATTCTCAATGTCATCTTTAATTAAATTGCCTTGATTTTGATTCAAATTTGTTAAATCATTTGGTTCAATAAATTATCAACACTTGTTACAGATTTTGCCTTTTAACAATGGCAAGTAGTGCTTCAAATGGAGAACACAAGTCTACAAAACCACCACCAACCCCTTCTCCATTGCGCAACTCCAAATTCTTTCAGGTATTGTGGCTTCATTGATTAATTTATATTTGTTTTATCCCAAAATGCCACTTAATGTTATGTTTTCTTTCTTGTATATATAATCTTTTTTCAAAGTATCTAAACTTATTTTTGTGCATTGCAGTCAAATATGAGGATCTTGGTTACTGGTGGTGCTGGATTTATTGGCTCTCACTTAGTCGATAAACTAATGGAAAATGAAAAGAATGAGGTAAATTTCTTTAACTCATTGTACCAAATCTTTTAGTATTTACATTTATGATTTATATCACATGACCTTGATGTTTTTTTTTTAATTAAATAGGTAATTGTTGCTGATAATTATTTCACTGGATCAAAGGACAATCTTAGAAAATGGATTGGCCATCCAAGATTCGAGCTTATTCGCCATGGTAATTTCTTAACCCATTAAAAAAGTAGTTTTTGAGTATTTTTCATATTTATTTTCTGAAATATGTTCATAAATTATATTATATGTATATACTTTTGTAGATGTGACAGAGGCGTTGCTAGTTGAGGTTGATCAAATATACCATCTTGCATGCCCTGCTTCACCTATCTTTTATAAATACAACCCTGTAAAGGTATGTATAAATCAATACATTATAATTCTATTTATTTATATGTCTACAATAATTATAAACGGGAACTTATAAAATGTGTAATGTGTAACAGACAATAAAAACAAATGTGATTGGCACGCTAAATATGCTTGGTCTTGCAAAGCGAGTAGGAGCAAGGTTGAAATTTTTACTTTTTATTTATTTATAAGAGCTTTTAATTACCTTCATATTATATAATTTAGTATATTAAATTTATTTTTACTTTCAGAATTTTGCTTACATCTACCTCTGAGGTATATGGTGATCCTCTTGTGCACCCACAACCAGAGAGCTACTGGGGTAATGTCAACCCAATTGGTAAGCCCAAATCATTATATAACAACATTTATTTATTTTACCATTATAGGCAATATACTTGAATTTTTTTACCCATAATACTTTGAAATTTTTACCATTTGATGTTTTTACAGGAGTTCGGAGTTGCTATGATGAAGGAAAACGTGTGGCAGAGACTTTGATGTTTGATTATCACAGGCAACATGGCATTGGTAAACTATAACTATAATAATAGTTGACCAAGTCAACATAAAATGAGTATCTTTTTTAAAATTTCTAATTCTTTATTTATTTATTATGATTGTTATTATAGAAATAAGAATTGCCCGGATTTTCAACACATATGGACCCCGGATGAATATTGATGATGGGCGTGTTGTGAGTAATTTTATAGCTCAAGCACTTCGGTAAGTCCTAAAAAATTAAAAATATATATATATATATATATATATATATATATATATATATATATATATTTTATTTATTTGAAAGTTAGAGTTAATTATTGAAATGTAAAGTTACTAATTTTAATTAATGTCATAAATTGTTGCAGTGATGAACCTTTGACTGTTCAATCCCCTGGAACACAGACTCGCAGTTTTTGTTATGTTTCTGATATGGTAATGTGGAATAATAAATTCAATTTAATTATGTAATGGTGGTGGTCAAACGTTGACTTTTTATTGCAGGTGGATGGGCTTATTAGGCTGATGGAAGGGGAGAATACTGGACCGATTAATATTGGTAATCCAGGTGAATTTACAATGATTGAACTTGCAGAGACAGTCAAGGAGGTTAGTCTTTTTTTCTGTTTGGAATCACAAAGGGTTGGAATTGAATGGGTGATTACATTCCTTTACATTATCATATCATGTATGACTTGGTATAGAAAGATTAAAAATGGAATGGGGTTAAATTGCAGCTTATTAATCCGAGTATAGAGATTAAAATGGTGGAAAATACACCTGATGATCCGAGGCAAAGAAAACCAGATATCACAAATGCAAAGAAGTTGCTTGGGTGGGAGCCCAAGATTAAACTGCGCGATGGTCTTCCTCTTATGGAGGCTGATTTTAGGCTAAGGCTTGGAGTTGCTAAGAAGGTGTAAACAAGAACGACTTTTTTTTTTTGTTGTTTTTTAAGGTTGTTGGAAACCGATTGTCACGTGTGTTTTGTTTTTTGAAGTGTTTAGTTTACACTACTCCCGTATAAGTGAAAATAAATGGGGCGAGTCGGAGTCTTTGTGTTGTTTACAACTTTTTTTTATAAACTTGTTTATGAATGAAAGGCATTGTTTTTTTTTTTTGGATTTGAAGCTCTTCTACTTGTAATTTTGCCATGTGTTTGTGTCTTGAATATCATTTGAATTAATATGGATTATTATTGTGATTTTCACGTATATCTTCTCTTTTTTATTTGACTATACACAACCCTAAAAAAAAAATAAAGAGTATGTGTTAAAAGATAGATGGGTGAGGTCAAAAAGAGGTGGGAGCGACACAGAGAGGCTCAGGTTGGTCTTGAACAAGATCAACTAAATTCTCTCACAAGTCTCATGATGGAAGTTAATCTCAATAATGGCTTGGATTTGTGGATTTAGGATCTGAGCAGTGATGGTAACTTCACCGTAAAGTGGACGAGGAAACAAATTGAAGATCTTATGTTGTCGGATGGTACTCGATAAATGAAATGGAATAGATATGTACCTCTGAAAGTGAACATATTCTTTTGGCGGCTTGTACTAGATAGGTTACCTAACCGACCAAATTTGTTGTCCAAAGGCATTGATGTTCCTTCAATTATGTGTCCTTGTTGTAATATGCAATTAGTCCCTTTCTCACTTGTTTGGCGAGTGTGAGATAGATGTGAAGACATGGAATGTTGTTTCTCATTGGTTGGAGCTCGATTTGCCTTGGCACTTAGGGTTTCAGATATAGTGCTTTGGGTGTAGTCCTTGCATGTTTTATTGATCAAGAAATATGCGATTAAATATGCGATTGATGTTATTGTCAAAACCACTTGTTAGGTGCTTTTGAGATACAAGAAAGATGTGGTCTTCTAGATAACATGTGTAGACGGGAGCTTATTTTTTATTCAATTATTGATTTATCTTTTTTGTGTTATTCTAATATGAACCGTAAAACTAACTTGTCTTGTGTACCTTGGCTCCAAAACCACATGAACATTATGTAATTTTCTAGCTCCTTGTTACTTTTGGTATATAAATCTTTCAACAGTTAAAAAAAATTGTATGGGTTATTCTTTTGCAATGTCACCGAAATGCAACAACACAAAAAACTTTGCTTGTGTTCGGCGTCAGGTTTTTAGAAGCTTTTAGCTTTTAATTTTCTAAAAAAAAACCTCAAATTTTTAAAATAAACAAAAAGTAAAAATAAAAATAAAAAACAGCTTCATTAGTTTAAAGATTTTATTTAAACAAAAAAAATCATATTTCAAAAGTTAATTATAAGTTTTTCGGAGTTTTTAACTTTTAACTTTTATATAATTTTACATTTTTAAAAGTTTTCAGCTCCTTTGCGTAATATTTATATAAAAATATAAGTTATAGCTACTAACATCTAAACTACAATTCATTTTGTCAAACATGTCTTACCTCGCTTTACACTTAATTAATTAAAGGACATTGTGGGTGTCGTGGAGGTGCATATTTTGTGTGGTTATTCATAATTTGCACACCTATAGTTTAGTGGAAAAAATTACAAATGAAATGGTATTATAAGGGAACAATTGATTTCGTTTTTCTTACGAAATGAATGGTTATTAGGTGATAGTTTTTTTTGAAATTGAATTCTTGATGGGTGTTTGGGATTGTTTATTTAAACCAGTTTTTTACTTAAAGAATATTAGTTTATACGGTATGAAAACTAAGTTTACAAAATAAATGTGTTGATTAACTTATATAATATCAAGACATAATAAGTTGATAAGTTGTTTTTAGTTTGTCAATTAGTCATGTAAATAAAATAAAATAAACTTGTTTTCCATGTCTTTTGGCTTTTTAGGGTTAAATTGGTTGTAAATGGGTAAATTTGTTCTCACTATAAAGAATCAATTTATCAAAAATTACTTGTTTATAAGCGGTTTTTACTCGTTATTCAATCCAAACATTTAATAATGATTATCATCATTATTAAACCGTAATAAACACTAAACAACATCTTACATAAGCATTCTCAGGCACCTCCCAAAATGCATATCATTTTGATATTAACGCTTATAAAAATTCTTTTAAGGTTGCGTTTGGTTAGTAGAAAATGATTGAAATTCGGAGGGGAAAGGATTTTAATTCCTTCGAATTCCTGCGTTTGGATCAACTTAAAGGGGGAAAAAGGAATCCTAAATGAGAAAATATTCTTTTATGGGGGAGGGGGATACTTTTCTTCATCAAATGGATGGAGTCAATCCCTTACTAACAAGGAAAGTGAATAATTACCATTATACCTACAAAAGATTATCTCACATATTAAACCATCTTCGTCAAAATAGAATTGCAACCAACAACAGCAGGACCTCATCTTCTCCACAAGACCTCGTCTTCTCCATTTCTTCTGCTTTCTTCTGTCAGGTAAGTCAATCTCGTTATCTCTCACTATCGCTCTCTCTCCCCCTCTTAATTTCTTCCATTTCTTCCTCGTCTTTTCTTGTGAAATGCGATGGTTAGTTAAAATCCTTGTTGATGTCGATATTTGTTAAAATCGAATCCTATGAAATGCATTTTATCTTCCTAAAAATTGATTTATGTGAAAATCGAATTTGTGATATTTATCAATTTCTGTTAAAAACGAATGCGTTGTCCATCTCAATCTATGCTTGTTCATAATTTATGCTTGTTAGAATCGAATTTGGTGTTAATCAATGTGATATGAATTGATTGTGATATCTTTCAAAAAAAATGAATTGATTGTGTTGTTTACATTCTTCTTCTTTTTCTTGCGTGTTCAGAACAGTAGCAACTGTTTTTTGTTCTTGTTTTCTCTTCACAACAACAAATGTGGTCTCCTTCATATGTTTTATGTTTTGTTCTTGTGTTGTTTTAGATTTACTTGCTGAAAAATACATTACATTCTCAATGTGATATGAACTTCTATGAACAGGAAAATGCCATGACTTAGTTTAACAACATACAATACAAAGACAAACTTGATTGATTTTGATATTGTGGAACGTGGTGTTGCATATGGTTGTACTCTTGTTGTTAATGATGTTCAAAACCATATAGATAAACGGCGTATTAAACAGATTTCTTCAAATATAGAGCGATACCCAATACTATATAAAATAATTTATGAGAGTGACACCATGTCTTTATCATGTTGGTAAATAGGTTCATAAAGAAGCGACTAGATGGAGACACAAATCATTTCCTTACTATGAAGATCTTTGCATTGTTTTTTGAAAAGAGCGAGCTCAAGGAAATAGAGCTAGAGATTTCATTGAGATGGAGCAAGATGTGAACTTAGATGAAGAAATGCAAGAGTCGGATGATGATTTCCTTGAATTAGGGGAAATTAGTCATAATACAACGGCGCAAAATGAGGAAACTTCACCAAGTGTTCGCTCTAATAAGAGGAAACGTCGTATTGTTGATGTTTTCCATAATGTGGTTGGTTTGATTACTGAAAGTCTTATAGAAATATCAAAGGACTTGAGTCAAGGTATTATGAAGATCAACGAACTGAGTGACAAGATCCATCCGGAGATTTTAAAGATGAATTCATTAAGTCAAGTCGAGAAGTTCAAAGCTTTGACCAAGATAAGAAGTGATCCTATAAACGTACAAAGCTTTTGGCAAATTGAAGAAGACAATAGAGAAATTTGGGTCAAATACATTTTGGAAGGGTAGTATTATTAATTAGGATGTTTATTCGTATTTTGGATTTTTAAGTTTTTTTGCGATGTTTATTAGGATGTTACTTGGTATTTTGGATTTGTAAGTTTTTGGTATCTTCGATAGGGATGCATCGAAATATTGTTATGTTTTTTGGTAACGTTATTATGATGCGAAGTGGAATGACTTTAAGTTATGATGCTTATTAACATGAATTTCGTAATATGTTGACATGAATGTTCCATCAATAAATTAAAATTTTACTATTTTAATAATCATACTATATTATAAAGGAAGCATTTTTCCTTTCACCACATTCATTTGAAACTCTCATGCATTTTTCCTTTCACCACAATCATTTGAAACTCCCATGACTTTTCAATTTCTTTCTAATAATAATTATAAGTTGGCTAATAAAGTTAAATAAATATCAAACCTAAAGTGTAATCATATATAAACTAAATTTCAGTATTAAAATAATATCTTTACTTCTACTTATAAAGTTATGTTTTGTTAACTTTTAGCATATTATACTTAATTTATTAGTTTTAATATATTGTTGGATGTAAACCATTATCATTTTAAAGATACAATTTTGGAACAATTTGTATAAAATATTTAATTTATTAATTTGAATATAACATTACAGGGTCAACTTAAATATAAATTTTAGTTTAACTTAAACAACTCAAAATAATATTTTGTAAATAGTTAAAAGTGATTAATTGTAGTGTCTTTCTAATAATAATTATAAGTTGGTTAATAAGGTTAAATAAATATGAAACCTAAACTGTAATCATAAATATACTAAATTTCAATTTTAAAATAATATATTTACTTCTACTTATAAAGTTATGTCTTTAACTTTTAATATATTATGCTTAATTTATTAGATTTAACATGTTGTTGTATGTAACCATTATCATTTTAAATCTACAACTTTTGAACAGTTTGGGAAAAATACTTAAATTGTTAATTTAAATATAACATTACAATGTCAACTTAAATATAAATTTCAGTTCCACTTAAAAAACCAAAAAATATTTTCTAAATAATTAAAAGTGATAAATTGTAGTGACAAATGCAAAAACTAAATTGTAATCTCAATTTAACTAAAATAATTCCTAAAGATATTTTTATAATCGTTAAAATTTTTCGAATAAGTAGCTTAAAATAAATTACAATAACAATAGTTAAAAATAACTCTATATAAATGATTATATTGTTACCTTTAAAATCAACAAACAATGTTTGATGTTTTAAATAATTATAATGATAGAAATTAAAACATTAAGCAAATAAATTTTAAAAAATTAATTAACAATAACAACAACTATAAATAACATTAAACCATATATTATATCTAATTTTATTTATGTGTAACTTGCTGATAGAAGTCATTTAAGCGATTGAGATTATGCGGTTATAATAGATGTATATATTATCATATAATTCAAAATAATCAATATATTATATCAATTTAGTATATATGAA